TGAACTCGTTTTATATTAAGAGTTTATATCCACCGTAAGTTCCACTATAGTAGGACCCTGCAATACCACTAGTAAGGCTTATTACGGATTTCTTTCACGGCCTTTTTGAAGCATGAAAGTTATTAAGAACAGTCTTCTCTAAAAAAGGTTCATGAGCTTAAAATTATACAGTTATCCCACTTGTGCTCAACTATAGTTGGTGCTTTGTAGTATCCGCATATGTTGTTTACATCAACCAGTTTGTGGATCTTCGGACGACATCACGGGAATTATTTCAAATCGTCCAATTGTCTTCTAGAATTCTTGTCGTTCAAGTGAGTTGCTTTAAATTTAGTTCGCACTCCTATAAACATCTTTAAAACTTAAGCAAAAAATGTTTGATGTTTGATAAATCGTGATCAAACCACACCAGTATTCATTTTTAAATTCAAGGATTCAAAGGATTTCGTTTTCATTGGGCACTCAATGGGTCTGATCCAAATATAAGGTAAGATGAGAGAACGCTTTCTTCTTCCAGGAAGAAATTGTCGGAACACTATCATTGTGAAAAGTTCACACTCCTGCTTATAATTATGGATAAACTCTAGTTTCAATGAGTTATTGTTTTGAGTACAGGGCATAAAAGTCATAATACAACGGCTTTGACAGATGAAAGTTTTAACTTTTAATAATTCTAAAATGCATTGCAGCCAACAAAAATTTACGGTTATTTTGCCGCGTTTGCTATGGCTATTTCCCCAATTTTTTCACATGAATTTCAAATATCTTCTTAGAGTTTCTCGCAAAATAAATAGTGGAGAGGATCATTAAGCTGCCTTTCTTGAAATGCTGTTAAATACTTTCAGTTAATGGTGACATTTCATTCAGCTACCTGTAAAGAGGATTCCATATGGTATGGTTGGCATTATAACGAATGTATTTCCATTATTTTCATGAATTGAAAAGTTTGTACAATGGCGCTTCCTATCGAAATACTGATGGCAGGAAAGTACTGTACTTGAGTGGATCCCGGCATTCCTACGCAGAAACCCCAGCACTCCCGATCCGAGCTATCAGCTTTAGTATCATGTGTTGGATAAAGGTTTTGAGCCTTCCAAGTACTCTTCCAGTTCATATCTATTCCGACTGGTCAGAACCAAATCAGTTCAGAATCTTTATTTATGGTTGGCGTCGAATTTGTGCTCAACTTCGAAAACCTCATCATCCACGTGGACTTACTATGGTTTATTTCTGTCGCTGGTAGGTGCATAAGATACATCTTTTCTTTTCCTACGTGCAATTAATAAATAGGAAGAGACACCTAGAGCACTCAAGTGTGTATCCCAGAGTGATTTACCTTCCTAAGAGGTACATTGAGAAGCGGAGATTTGCGCAAAGCCTCATTCCCTTTTGTGTTCTGTTCTCTCATAATCAAAGGAAGGTCATCCCCAATAGATGGATGCACGTGGCGTTCACTTGGAGTCGAGATAGAAAAGAGGGAATTCTGTACGTAGATGGAATTAGAAGGGGTGGAAGTAGAGTTTCTAATGGTCCTTTAGACCTGATCGAAAATAATCATACAGTTTTCGACATTGGGTTGAAACGAGACAGAATGCATTTTCCGACTTCTGATGGGTACATGAGAGATCTTCTTGTAGTTGATAAAGCGCTATCAGGAGATGAAGTGAAATACATGAAAGACATACTCTAAGGAAGAGCACGTGGTGTGACGACCTTTAAGGAGGGCTACAAAGGAGACTGGGGCAGAGTGGTACAATCGAACGTTCTGGTCGGTGAGATGTTTGGGCATTACAGATCGTTCGAAATGAAATCTTTAGAAGCTCTGATGCTCTCTCGTTACCAAATGACTGCGAGAAAAATTAGTTAGCTGATAGGAGACTGTGATAAATCACTCGTTGAAATTCTTGTGAGAAGGACTACAGTGTCACTGATGAATGAGCGCGGGGTTTAATACTGCGTCAAAGAAACGCTTATCAACACTAAGTTATAAATTTTCGGTCCGCCTTTCGAATACTAGGCATAACTGATTCATAGCAAGAGATTATAAACTATCTACGAGATGCATAAATCAATTTAAACCGTGCCTCATTGCAATTATGACCAGCTTAACATTGATGTTTTAAATATCTCTCAAAAATTTCTTCACCTTTCTTCACTTATCATAAAAGAAATAGGCCACAATGCTAGCCGAAATATGAGGCAGATCGATGTCAGTATGTAAAAGTTAGAAATCATTGTTTTGGCAATGAGATCGAACCAGTCGTCTTTCTTTTTTCCATCTCCACCTTTCATCTTTAGAAAACTCAGAAACAAAACCTTGTGCTAACCCACCGTGCAAAACCTTGTAATTATTTTTACTGAACTTTACTTGTGGCTTATTACATTAATTGTGGTGACATTATTTTTATTGTTGTTGTTATTAATATTATTGTAATTTTAATATCATTCTCAATAATTACATTTAAATGCTAACTGCGGCCTTCAAGTCAAGCTTTTATATCGGGTCTCCTCAGTGATTAAATTCACTTCAGCAGCAGTTATGGCTTCTTTGCATATATCTGAACTTTCTGTGTCAGCCGTCAGACGTTCATTTCACTAGGACCTAAAGTGAAGGGGAGAAAAATAATGGAGCCATTTTTTAAGAGCGTCGAACGAAAGTAATCCCAGAATACATTGTTTTTTTTTACAACGCTCTATAATTGGCCTAAAAAAAACTGGCCCCACCCGCAGAGCCTCGGTTACAATAGCCTTGAATGAACAATGGAAGGAAATGGTGTCGCTTAGGGGAGTGAAGGATAGCGAAACTTGGGAGAAAATATCGACTAAGACAATTGCGTAAATGATATCACTGAAAGAACCAATGGTACAGTTCACAGACTTACTCTTCCATTCGACGCTCTGCAACAACTGAGTGCAAAAATAAAATGATTAGATGAGTAAAGAGAGATCTTCGTACAAAGATACACAAAACACAGTTGTGGTAAAAAGTGTCGATTCAGGTATGTGAATTTCTTATATGTGATTAACAGAGTTAACTACTTAGAGTTCGGTCACGATCTCTGCCAACGTGAATCCAAAATTCACTCAAGCAATTATACTCAGGAAAGACTCTAAATGAACCAGACTTACTACTCAGCTATCGAAACCCGGCTGACGATGAGAAGTGATGATAAACCATGTTTGCGCTGAATCGCCTCTCCTCGCTTGGTTTCACGGAGTCGCTCCTTTCCACCAAACTGCAATCAAGCAAAGAAACAACGTTTGTTACAATCCTCCATGTTTATTAGTACCATAACCAGCTGGGATTATGGATATCAATTTTTTCTTCTTTATTGACATGTCGTAGTTTCAAAGCTAAAACTGAGCATATTTTGCGAACGAACAACTCATAGAATTAGAGAGATTGTAAGTTTTGAGTTCGGTGAAGAAATAGAGAAAGATCTGCGTTTGGATGCTCTAACACTGAGCCTCACAGACTACGGTGAGCGTGGAATCCGAAGGTCTGAGGTTCGATTCCTCATGGGGACTCAGAAGTGTTTCTTTTTCCGACGCTCGTGACATGAAGAAAAACATCTTTCTCTGTTTCTTTACCGAGCTCAAAGCTTACCATATTTTTTATTTCAATAACAAACATGACGCCATCGACGTTGCTAATCCTAGCAGTATGCAGGACGCGTGTCATATGAACTTTGTGATAGACTTCGCTAACCGTAGAATTCGTTTTGGCTCATTGGTAGAGTATCGGAGCGCGGAATCCGAAGGTCTGAAGTTCGCTTCCTCTTGAGGACTCAGAAATTTTCTTTTTCCCAAGCTCGTGACAAGAGGAAAAACATCTTTCTCGAAAAACTCCCATTTTCACATCAATTTAGTCGAAGTCGAACAGAGAAGGGACACGATTATTTTCTTTTGTGTTGTGCTTATTTTTAAACTGGCACTTACAGTGGGGGCAATTTCCGTCTAGCCCACTTCTCTGCCAAGAGAGCTTTTGTTTCACTAACATAAGATCGGGCAGATACGTAGACAATACAGGCACTGAAAACCAATGTCAATATGAGTTTTCTCATTTTCCTATCACGGTGCCAACTTACAACGGGTCTCCTTTGATATTGATCCTTTACGACCTTTCCTTCCGATTCACACAAAATGGGATCATATGCAGGCTTCCCGTTTTTCGTCTCCTTTCAGATGAAAATATCATGGAACTGAAGGAAATATGTCACTAACGCAACCCGCCTACATGGTATCTTTTAACTTCGAAAGCAGGCCGTAGGCTTTCTAACATAAGATCAGCTGAATACAAAGAAAATACAGGCAATGAAAACCAATGTAAATAAGAGTTTCTTCATTTTCCTGTCTCAGTGGCAACTCACGATTTCTGGGTATCCTCTGATACTGTTCGTTAAGCTCTTCCCTTCAACTCTATACAAAATTAGATCACATGCGGCCTTCCTGTTTTCCTTTCCTATCACATGAAAATACCATCGAAGGCAACATGTTACTACAGCAACCGCAACTTCTGAAAACCAGAGTGAATATGAGTTTTGTAACTCTCCCGTCATTGTGTAAACTAACGGCTTCCGGATCTGCACAATCCTGCACTTTTATTCGTATCACAAAGAGCCAGGAAATTCAAGTTCAGAACTGATGTTCTAGGAAACGTGAATTTTTACCACGCATCTTTAGGGGAATGAGTTTTAACTAACCAACAAGCTGCAGAGAGACAGCAGAGACTTGATAATTGTTTTACCTTTGTTAGCAGCTGGTACACGTTTAGATAATAATTATAGCCATAAAGTTAAGCTCCAACATTTATTTGTCTGCAGTAATTTAGTTTAAATTAACAGCATTTGAGGCCTCTTTGCATAATCTCTATCTTTTATTGCCAGTCTTTGGACGTTTATCTTTGACCTAAAATGAAAGCATGGATAAAATAAGGAAGAAATTAATATCATATTTTGAACTGAATATGTGAAGATGACAATTACAGCCGGTGATATTTTGTAGACCAGCTTACATATGTCTAGAAATGCACGCAGTAACGAAATTTCGTCAAAGCGAGCCAATGTTCATTGATTTTTCAGACTTGGCGAAGTTTAGACAAATTCGTCAAAGGGAAATCAGGTTAGTAGATTTTACTATTTTGACGAATTTTCACCACCCTCGTTTCTGCATGTTTTCTGGACATGTCGGTCAGCCGCAGTAGCTTTTGTCCCAACCAGCCCAGTTCATGTCTCGTGTAGATTTGTAAGTACAAACTTATTGGAGTATTACACTTAGCTTATTCTCTTTGAGAAGCTTCTGTGTTCTTACCAATTGATGGAAATCAGTCGTTTATCATACATACATAGTAGAACTCCTCCAGTGTCGGGATTTGTCCCATAATTTTAAGCCGGTTTATTACAAGTCCTATAGTCTGGTTTGTGAATTCTTGAGAAGGCTATTGATGAGAGAGCCTCCTACATAGTGACTTTTTAAAAGGAAGTCATTTCTCCCAGACACAAGAGCGTGACTGTTTGGAAATATTTAATTTTACATTTTAAGATATTTCGTGCGCAGAATTATTGAAGAAAAAGACTTACTGTTTACGCTAGTAGACTCGACTTTAAGGATTACTGATTTCCAAGATGACCATAGTCCGCCCCTCGCTTCGCATTGGCTGCGTCAATCACGTCTTCCTTGCTACAATCGTGTATGAAAAAGAAGAAATTAATGACCACTCTTCATCGATTTTGATCGAAAATTCGCACAAGAGAAATCTTTTTATTCACTAAAGCACAGAAAGGGAACGACTCATTAGAAATCCTCAACTTCCTTTCCTTCCACTCGAAAAAGTGAATTGGAAATATTTATGGTCTATAAACGCTCTATAGTCCTCCCTGTTTACTCTGTTGGCGATTAATCCCTCTTCCGTTTTCCCTGAAAACCCTGTGATCCCCTCAAAATCCTCCTCACACTCCCTCCCCCTGAAGATAAATATTGACTAGCTCCCCTCCCCCTGGAGATAAACATTGACTGGTCTCCTATAGACACAAAAAGGAGTGATGTTTCTGCATGGTGCATAGCTTTGTCTTAGTTAAGTTTAAGCTCCTGCTTCCTTACTCTCACTCATTATTTCTTCGAATCTCGCTTCACTGAAAAGTAAGAACAACAATCTCACAGGACAATTTATCATGTCAACTCTCAACTCTGGGTTACTGGTGTGTTAGCAAGTTCATGGGCGTCTTAACATTCTTTGTTAAGTAATCTCCATCTTTGACATTCTTCAAATTATTTTAGACGTTAGCAGCCCTCGGAATCCTCGGAACGTCTTCGTAGGTTGTAAGCCAAAGATGTTACGTAATCAGTTGTGGATAAAGCCTCGTTTTGCTTAGAAAAGCAGTTGTGTGATATCTATCTGGTCAACTACACTTACTCCATAAGCCAGCCACTATGGTAACCGTGACTCTGACAGTGAGGTGGTGTACAGTTTTGACTCCTTTTTTCCCCTCTTCGCTTAGTGTCAGCGGTGTCGTCCATTTTACTCATCCTACAGTCGTGCAAAGAAGTGAACTTGTTAGTGACCTTTGTTTTGAATTGTATCGTAATAAGCTAGGATTGTTGAGTCGTCTTTTTAATTTTTGGTTGGTTAAGAAAATGGGACGTCTGTGCTTCTACGTCTGAGCACGTGCAAAACGTTGTAATGATTACATGGCGTACTTTCAGGCTGTCCAAACCAAGTTGTCTCACACAAGTCACAAACACCCACACAAGCCAGGAAGTCACGATGTTTCACAAGCGATGGAGCCTTTTTGGTAAAGCTCAAAATAGAATATTACATAAACAGCATACCTGTATTTGAATAAGCTTTGAGTTCGAAAAGTCTCGACCTTTGCTTTTCCTTACATTTTTTTCCTTTTACAGATTGCAATGAACTTTTCCATTTGCATTGCTTATTCTGCGAGACAGCGCTAGTTTCTTATTTTTCCTTTAAAATTTTGCGCGGGAAATTGGCGCGTGGCCGGCCAGTATTGCCCTACATCTGACTGCTACGTTGCCGTTGACTGCCACGGACGCCATATGACTTGGGGTTGAGACGAAGTCTATGCAAATCAAATTTTGGTGGTGCAGTATTTCAATGCAATATGTTCGACCGTTTTCCACATGTAAGGAAAATGGTAAAGAGGCATATCTTTTATTTCTCGACTTAGAGCTGGATCTGAATGAATTTCAGTACTTCCATGGCGGAAATCGCACAAATAACGTTGGCCGATTTTTACATCGTAAGGTATCATTTACAAAGCTGAAGGCTTAAAGTCCCTACAGAAAATATCAAGCCAAGCTTCCTGCTTAACCTTGGTAACATCAAGATAATGAAACAGAATATCAACAGAAGTGAGTGACACAAGCATGCATCGGATGAAAATTGCCAAATAATTCGAAGGTATACTGCGAAATTGTGTTTCATTTCATACCATTTAATAAGTCCTTTGACCATAAATGTTATCAACGAATTTCGCCTAGCACTCTCGATGTCAGATAATGTATCTTAGTAATTAAGTTTAATTTTTCCTCCTTCTCTGAGAAAAAAATTGGAAGGAAAAAAGGCTACTTTTGCATATATTTGACTTTTTACCTCAACTTTATAAAATGGTGGCCAAAGTTTATCTTTTCCCTAATATAATTTATTCATTTAGAAACTCCGTCATCCATAGAATTAGTAACATATTTGAGTCCTAAAAAGTGGACTGTTTGGATAGCTTCTAAATGTAGTTGAGCTTGGCAGTCTTCTCTGTTGATTTTGTTGATAATGCATTTTGTGGAGTGAGATTTTTCTCCTTGATGGAAAACATCAAGCAATTTTTGAAGCACAAATCTTAAACTAATAGATTGGGGCTACCATCCGAACAATATTCGCTCGAAATTGTGTCAAATGACTGGTGAGACACCTGAAAGCCAGACGCTATTTGTTTTACTCCTTGAGAGAGAAAGGATCGGTCATGATGCAGAATGCGTTAATCAATCACTGTTACCATGGCAACAGCCCATCTTTGAATGAAATCGTGCCAAATGGATCTAGACTTCAAAACCTAGCAACTTCCATTACCATTATTATTGATATCCAATGATCGAGGGAGAATAAGCTGTGAAAAAAATTTAACTACTAAGACTCCATAAGTTTTTTTTAAACTGGTAAAATTTATTTTTTAAAACTTCGTTCACTTCAATCGCTCTGACGAAGGGCTAACGCTCGAAACGTCAGCTTTTTTACCCTTTACGGTGGCTAATTTACGTTTTCAACCCAGTTGTTAACACTAAATTTACCTGCTATACTCTCCCACCGACGCAGCACCACAGTTTCTTTAGAAACTTACCCCTTTATTCTTTTCAAATTTTGTTTTGTTTAAAAGCTTGTAACTGAATGTGAAGATTTTTCTCTATCGAAGAGCTTACCGAGCCAAAAAAAAATCGGAAAAAACACTCCAGAAATGTTTAGGCGATTTTAGCTGACCACGCAGCATGGGATATAAGCCGTGCGAGATATGACTAATAACCAGGGCTGTCTTAAATTTGCGAAAACATATATTAGTTGGTATTGAGTGTGATTTTATTTAATTTCCCATGATATTTCTTAAAGAGATACATTTCCATTCCGAGGCAATCTTGTTGGTGGGAGCTCTCCACCACTGCTTTTACGAACTTGTAAACGGAGATCTTTCCAGGGGGACTTTTGTTCATTTTAACCTTTTTGTTGGGAATAACTACCGTTTACCAACGCCTAACGCAGTTTGATTTGTCAAAATGCAACGTACGTGGAGAGTTCGTATACACTAGGATGACGAACGGATTAAATCTCCAAGCGAACACCGAACAGTTTTAATAACAGGTTTACAATGTCCTACAATGAGTTTTAGGATTAATTCAATCAAGGTCTAACAAAGAAACGTTAACCAAAGAGCAAATGTGATGCTTTCGAAATTAGTACTTACCTTGCAAATAATTTCTGTCTCACTCTCTCTGCTGAGCGTGCGTTGTCTTCAGCCAAAAAAGAACGACAGTACCCATAGGCGATACATGCAATGAAAACCAAAGTCAGTACGAGTTTTCTCATTTTCCTGTCACAGTACAGTGCGAACTCACGGGGTACAGAAATCTTCTGAAATGATCCTTATCGACGGTCCCTCTAAATTTATACACAACGTGAGCATATACGGCCATCCTTTTTTAACAGTTCGATTAGATGAAAATACCATCGAAGGCAAAATGTTACTACGCTACGTCAAGTAATGGCTTTTTCACTTATCGAGAAAGCCGCAGGCCCTCCGAATGCAGACTGTGAGAGTATTATTATGAAACAATTGGAATATATTAGAAAGGGTGAGAAGTCGTCTCAAACTCAGATTGGATGATTTATTAAATTAAAATTTCTTACATCGACGGCATAAAGCTTAAGTTTTACTCTTTTGAGTTCGTTATGACGTTACTAAATGTGGGTTTTTCCTCTTACAGTTTCACAAAGAAGATGCTTTCAGAGACATGCTGAGGTAAAAATTTTGTATGGAAAATTTTCGCTCCACTACTCAATGGAAATGCGAAAACTAGATTTTGTACAACAGAACCCAGACCTGAATGACAAAAATCTAAACTCAAAATAAATGGTATGCGCATGAGAAATCTCCTTAGATCTCTGAGTGAAGCTGAGATTTCATCCTCAAGAAGGAGATCTAGAGAAAAAAAAAAAGAAAACAACTTGACGCCACTTTGGCGTTGAAAATTGTGACCTTTCCGTGAATTGTATACTGTGAGAGGAGAAGAAACCTTTAGTGAACACATTTTTCTTGTCATGCTTAATCGATAGAAAAAATCCCAACGGTGAAATCCTTCGAAGAGCTTTTCGGTATTTCCATTTAAATGAGTAACAATTTAAAAAGTCTTAGTATTTTTTCCAATTAAAAAAAACATCCTGAGCCTTAGGATTGGACAGGTGGTAATAAATTACTCCGGAACTGATAAGTCTCCTTTCATTTCCCGTTACTTGGTAAATAACGTTTAATAAAACAAAAAAAGCTTGCACCAAGCTCCAAACCAAACAGTTCTTTTCTGGGACAATATGAGAGAAATTGTTTAATTTAGTAGAGAAGAACAAGAAGCCCTTTTGAATAAAATTTCGGCTGAGGAGAGTCTTGAAAAGGGACTGGTATCGGAGTCACAGTAAGTGACGCTTTTTGGCGAACAACTTGAGCTGAAGTCCGAGACAAAGTAACTTGTTAGATATAAATTATGTGCGTTCAAAGCTTTTCCGCCACCACATTAACAGCCATTAGTACTTCTGGATTTAAAACATTTATTTTGCAAAGACGCATTTTATTTGATTTGATTTCATAACATTTGTCTTTGTCTTGAATGTTATGGAAATGTCTTCAAAATGTATTTATGCTTCGTAAAATCTTGTGCAAAATATTTACAGCTATATCTTAAATCATTATTGAACTATTTGTCTTGAGAAAAAGTTCTGAATTACTGTTACGGATTCAATCCAAATGAAAGAAGTAGATCTCTAAAAAGGTAGCCTTGAAGCTATCTAAAACATCTCTAGATATTGCAAATAAGAAAAATTCTTATTCAATAGATTTGAGATCTAAGATATCAAAACTGTTTTAAACAACTTTCAGAGAAGTTTGGAATTGCATAACCATTCAACCCGTTAACCTTTTAAATTGCAATAAGTTTCTAGAGTCCTCATCAACAGAACAACTATAAGCATTCTGTGTTATAATTTAATTCATTTATCTTTAATTTTCCTTAAATTAACAGAATGACTAGTTAATCGAGGTAACACATATCCATCATTCGTGCGAAAGAAATGTAACAGTTTAAACATCGTTCAAAAGCTCTTGAGTTATAATAATTGAGTCAAAATGTTTCCTTTCAACTTGTGAATCCACAGGTCTTTGTTAGAAAAATTTGAATTGCTGAATTTATTATGAAACCATTGTATGAATGAAAAATTATCAAAGGACATTTGAGGTAGGCCACGTAACATAATTTCAGATTTTCTGCTTAACACTCATCGTGGTATCTTATCATCTCAGGTTACCTTCCAGCGCTTGCAAAGTTTTCTCTAAGAATTAGTTTCCTCATATGATTTACGATACTGTAAACAGGAAAGATCTGACAAAACTGCCGAGGGCTTTCTATTAAATTATTTCCTGAACTCTTTCCTATAATTTGTACAAAAGTGATATGTAAAGAACCCTACTGATTCATAGATAAATGTTTGACTCAGATCAACCTGGCCATCGTCGCAACTTGAAAGGAAAAGTAAATGATCTAGTTCAGCTTTCTTTTTTCTGATTGATATAGATAGGGCATCCCATAAATGATTAAAATGAGGAACGACACTTTTGAAAGGGCCGCTTACTCTTTTTAACCTGTGCGAATTACTCTTTGACCGGTCTTGCAAACGCTCCCTGATTGTAAACCATAGCACTGTAGCAAAAAACGTTTTGTGTGCCATCTACTTGAGCAGGTTATTTACAAAGAAATAACTCGTCGTATTTCAACGCGTTTAAAACAATTCCTCAACAATAATTATACCGTTTAGTATAACACATTCAACATTCGTGTTGAGGAGAGGTACATTAACAACATTGTGTCCATTTTGAACTTCTGCATTTTGTTACAGGTCTCTTTATGAAGTTAATGAGATAACATTCATTTTATGATTAAAAAGCATTTTTGAGCTTAAAAGTAACCAAAGGTATCTATTTAGATTTTTTCAGGCCGAACTGGTGGCAAATTTTTTATTCTCTCTCCAAGGCCCTCAAATCGCTAATTAGTTAACAATTTCCGGTGCTTATTCCAGCATCTTATCGTATTAAGTAACCTTCCAGCGTTTGGAAAGGTTTCTTCAACAATTACCTCTTAGTACTATCTGTTGTAAACAGAAAAGATGTAAAGAAACCGCATCGAAGTTTTGTTCAAATGTTTTTTTCCGGACTTCTTTCCTGCACTTCGTTTAGAGGTGATTTGTTAAGAGGTGAGCCAGTTGATAAAGAGAAAAATGTTTAATAAAATCAAGGCAGAATCTCAAATAGAAATGAAATAGTTACTGATCTACTTAGTATGAATTAATCTGATGATAGCGGAGAGAGGCCGTGAACTATCAGATTTTAGCGTTGCTAGACCACTGTTATTCAATCGACCTTGTATTGAAAGACACTGTACATGTTGTTAGTTTCGGAAGTTCTTGTCCGTTTTTTTTTGTTTTTTTTTCTTCTTTTGTCAGTTGTTATTGCTTGTATTGTTAAGCTGCCGTGTAACCGTCTGTAAAAATTTTCTTCACTTCCAATCCAGTTATTGCCACATCAAAAACCATGAGATTCCTCAGAAATCCGTGGAAAGTATGTTGAGACAAGGAATCCCGTTTGAGCCCGATGTCAAACACAGAGTGGCCAGTGGGGTTGAGATCTAAATTAGTAGTTGACCCACTAACTCTTTCTTTGCCTTCTTCCAATCCGTCTATGTACAGTCTTCCGATAAGTCCTTCGCGACTCCATGTGAATGCAACGTGCATCCATTTGTTCAGGTGGATATGCCTTACGGAAGGAAAGAAAATTATAAATGTTAATGTTGATTCATGAAATACTGAATATAATTTTTCTCAGCCGTTCAGAGTTGAACAGTTTTTACAAACAATGAAAAGCGTCCATATTAAGCAGAAGAAATACTCACTGGTCAGTGAGTTTGATTTTATCCTCTCTCTCTTTTTCCCGTATTGACCTTTTTTTATACTTTTCTGGCCACGGTAAAGAGCTCAAAAAGAGTCCGTTTCTAGTGTGGAATTTTTTGTTTATGTGAGCTACAAAAGTTGTTCGTCGCCGGTCTTTTCTTATCAACAAAATATTTCCGCAAATTATATTTATTTTCTTACCGCCCTGCTCCACAATTTAGAGAAAAAAAAACCAGAACAAGAAAAAGGGCAAGAAACTGAAAAGGCTGATTCGTCCTTTTTATAAAAATATGAACTGATCAGTGTGTTGTATGATGCTCACCCTCTACAGAAGTAAACAATATTTGAGGATTTAGGAAAATCTCGGCGGAGGTTGGCGCACAAACTGTCTTGTATCATGCCAAACCTGAACTGGTGGGGTGAAGACCAATCAGAGTAGATGTTTATAACATGCGCAGGAAGGTTTAAAACTTTCATCCAGCACAGGATACTGAAGCTGGTGGTCTGGATTGGGAGTGCTGGAGTTTCTGCGTATGAACGTCCATCCAAATACAGGGCTGTCGTTCCATTAATACTTTTGTAGGTGGCACCATTGTACAAACTGTCCGCGAGATGGAAATGAAATGGGTTTAGGTCATTTTTAGTGGTAATTATTTGGTTATAATGCATTTCTGGTGTAGGTCATGGACAATAACCTGCATGATATTCACGCCATTTTAACCATTCGAGATAATACGGATTAGACAGAATTTTCGTCTCTGATATCTGTAAATTTTTCAAAGTGTGGTAGGATATTGTTTTTTAACGATATAAAGTGTAATTGTATCGGCGGAAGTTTGTACGTGTATCAGGTGTGTGCTAGATTTGAAATAATCGCAAATTATAACGAAAATTTTTCTCCCGTTAAAAGATTGTTAGTTTGAAATATTTTCCAAAAACAACCATGTTTGTGCTGCAAACTCCTTTTAATGCAATGTCTTTCTTTTGTCTAAGAAAACAAATATGTCCTTTTTGCATGTGAGTGAGCGCGAGAAAATCCTATCGCAAATAGGCAACTTTCTTAGTGATTATTAACATTTTTAACAGTGATATTCCAAAATCATACACAACAAACCAGCCTGAGTCCCAGTGAGCAGGAAAATAGCTACTCGAGATGGTTCTGTTTTTAAACAGAACTGGAGGAAACGACAAGATGTTTCCTTTGAGTATAATAATGAAGGGGGAAGAAAGCGTTTTCCCACGACGCCGTTTCCGGATTTGTTTCATCGTCTTACCTTATGAACGGATCAGATCCATTAAGTGTCCAGTAAAAAGGAAATCCTATAATAGAAGGAATGATAGTGAACTCAAGAAGCTCTTCACTTGGCTTGTTAGAGAAATTTCCTTTAAAGTACCGTAAGAAATGTACAGAGAACAGCATGGATCATGGATTATGATTAATTGGTAACAGGACTTCGTGTTGTCCAATTCTGTCTGTGATCATACGAGTGATTAACAAATCAGACTCCTGCTTTGCGGTCGTCCGATTTTGTTAATCATTCGTATAATTATGGATAGAATTGGACTCCACTCGATCCATTACCATTTTAAATTATCGTGATACGACTAACCCAAGCATAAGGATCCGTTCCCTATCATATCCTGACTGCACGTGCAGTTGTAGCCGTCTTCGGTGTCTGTGCACACGGCGTCCTCGTGACATGAATTGTTTTCCGCAACACACTCATTGGTCGCTGCAGAAAGAAAACATATTGATCAGTACTGGTAGCTTGCGAGGCGTCGAGTGGAAAACTCGGTCTGGCTAGTATACAGCCAACTTTTTCTTCGTCGATCTCGCTGGTAGGAATAATTCTGGTTTTGGAAGTGTTATAATGCAGAGACGGTTGAGATTTTCAAGATTGAAAAACTGACGCCTAGTTGACAATGCCAACAACAAGGTTTATTATTATTAATGTTGTAATTTTATTATTATTATTGATATTATTGTTAATGAGTTTTACTTCTTGAGACTTTTCTGGATGATATTGGTTGACACAGAAAATTTTAAGAATTATGTTTAACTATCCTTTGGTTACTATTATCAGTGTAATGAAATCAAGAAACGAGAAGAATGAAATCCATCTTACTTTGGCATGTTCTGCCATCGCCTGTGAATCCTGTCCTACATGTGCAATTAAATGAGCCCACGGTGTCAATGCAAATCGCGTCAGTAGAGCAGTTATGTGTTCCAAGGGTGCATTCATCAACATCTAAATTGACAAAAAAAACCTGAAGAAACTATATCTTGAAAGCCTGTTCCACTTGAATATCTATGTGGATTTCATTTCATTTATCTACGGGAGTAAAAATGTGGAACAATTATTCTGATCATTTAATATTTTACGGACTATTTCATATCTAGTCAGTCTGATATTTTTGACTGGTAAATGATTAAATTAAAATGGATCTTACTTTGACATGTTCTGCCATCGCCTAAGAATCCCAACGCACAAGTGCAAGTGAATGAGCCCAAGTTGTCATTACAAAACGCGTCAGCGGAACAGTTATGTTTTCCAAGGGAGCATTCATCGACATCTGAATTGGATGAAAAACAAAAATGATAGTGGAAAAAACGTCGTAGATAATGATTGATGTCACATAGCGTGACCAAAGATAGGAACAATGATTGGAATCTTACTTCGACATTTTCTGCCGTCTCCTGTGAATCCTGTCCGACAAGTACACTTAAAAGAGCCCACGGTGTTATTACAATACGCGTCAGCGGAACAGTCATGCGTTCCAAGGGAACATTCATCGGCATCTATATTGGATAAAATAAGGAATAAAAAATTCACGAAAGCACGTTTTACTTCTTCATTTTTGAATAGTGAAAAGCGATTTTCCCCAGAAGCCTTAGCATAACAATTTATCCCCATTTTCCGGCTAGGAAAAGTTTGAAATTTATTTTGTTGTTTGTCTGACATTATTGATGTCGGTGTAATAAGAACAATGCACCCGAGAATCCTCTCTTACAGGTGCAAGTGGATGAGCCCACGGTGTCATCACAATAAGCAGGAACAGTAACGTGATCCAGAGCTACATTCATCAGCATCTAAATCGGATAGAAATAGGATGAACTACCATATGGAAGGGTGTTTTTCGATCACATTTTTTTTTAGAAGGCACTTGTATTATCTAGAGAAACACGAATCAGTGACAAACTATTTAGATTATTCCCTATTCATGGCTAACTCAGAAATTGTCCCGATGCAGATTGTGTTTTCTCTTTCGGACACAGCCCTGGTCTCCGAATTCATCATACGGAAAGTTTTCTTTTCGATCAATGGATTTCTTGCATTTATTAGATGTTAGTGCAAACGTAAGACAATAGCAATGGTGATGACGCTGATGATGATGAAATAAGTATTGGGGATAAACGTATTGATGTGGCTAATAGTTGTGATGATGATAGTGACATATTTGTAGCATAAATGCATAATAGTAAAACTATTTCACGATTTTAACTAACAGCAAGACAAGATATCATTCATTGGCGAAGAAAACAAGCCTTTGAAAAGTGAAAAATCGCCCCACAAACTTAGTCGGAAGCCGTGAGAAAATTTAGATCGAAGAGTAAATACGAAATCTTGTTGGAACGAGTATGTCTTATCAATCCGAACCTTCCCCATTTGTGATTCGTAAAAGTTCCTGATATATTGCATTCGAAACAGCGCACCTCTTTCACAGTTAGTTGCATTAGGCCAGTCAGCAGGACAAACACAACGAAGGTTTCCTTGGTGATTTGGTAAACAGGATGAAGCTGGTGGACAAAGTAAGCCGCTGCAAAGTATCTGTCGATGGAAAAGAATGATTCGAACAATTTTTTTAAATCGAAAACCGATGGGCGTGACCTTAAACTCACAAAATGATTAATTTCACGGCGAGGCTTGCTTTTCGGAAAAATTAGACGATCTGCTTACTTCTTTTTCAGCTTTTATCACGTTTATTTGATGTTATATTTTGAAGGTTTTATTATATGTTAATGATATGAAAGCATCTGAAAATGCGTGTTCGAACAGTACTTAAACCACGTACCAGCGTAGGTGAATCACCGGTAGGAATGTGAGCTGAATGCTTTTTTCGGTAAACCATGTTCTCGCACATCGGAATCAGGATAACAAATGTGAACTGACGCGGCATAACCACCGTAAAGGATATTTCCCTTTTCTCGTTCAAGTTCTCATTCTAGATCATTCACTTTCTCAACTCAGCTAAACCAGTACCCCCGCGGTATGGCCTTGTCTTATCGTTCATTTGTGTAGGTGTCATAATGTTTATGTAAAATTATGACGGTGGTTCGAGCAACAAAATGTGTCAGTGCTTATTGATCATTCTTTTAAACTCCTCATTTAGTACATGAGAGCTCAGCCACAAAATTACAAGAGTGAACCTTGTCAGTTGTGCTTACCACAAAATTACAAGTGTGAACCTTGTCAGTTGTGCTTACTCTGCAAGTTTGATTAAAGAGTTAATGAAATTGCTTTTGCACTAAGTCAAACACTTGTGTGTATATCATGTAAGTACACTTACAGCTGTTGGATGATACGAGAAACCTATCCTGGAAACCAAATCTGCCGGATGTTGATAATGATCTGAGTTACTAAGTTCACAATTCCCCGATCCAAAATTGAAAGACAGGCACGTCTGCTCCAAATAACAGAGTAGTTCACACTGATCTTTATCATTGACTTGTACCAACTGTATAACGTGATTTCGTAACGCGTTGTCCGCCATGGGCTCGGTGAACTTCAGAATCCTGCAAGAATCTGATTCAATGATTTAAAGAAAATTATATTCGTCGAACGGTTTATTTTATATCTGCCCTGAAAATAAAAATTCACAAAGTGCAATGTACTTCTTTCGATCAGACATGTAACCTTTTACACCTTAACATCAGTATGCAAGTTCTCCAAACTGTTCTCTCTACATTTCCTATGGTACTTAAAGGAGAATTTCTTTAACAATCAAGAGCTTCTTAAGTTTACAATCATTTCCTCTATTCTCATGACCTTAATATTTGATTCAAGGTTGAAACTGTTGGTAAAAATTAGATGCTTATCTTATTAGATGTACTGTTGTGGGTTAAAGGCAGTTGTCCCTGAAGTAAAGTATTTCTTGAAGGATAATTGAATTGTTAGGTAACTTATTAGAGTGAGGTGAGTCGCGAAAGTAATCCGTGACTGCTTTGCCCAACACGCTCTGCAATTTGTCAAGAAAATTTGCATCTTCCTCTCTGCCAATCAGGAGCAACGTTAAAACAAATTGCGATTTCGCCTCATGCGTTTTCCTGTCCTTCATGCATTTTTCTTTTTTTACTAGAAGTGCCTACTTACTCTCTATGATTTTATCCATGCTCTGCTTGGCCATTGTACTAATTTTGGCTTTTCATCGGTTTACGACACTCGATTGACTGAAATGCGCTCAATGCTTGTCAACTTTTGACAGCCGGGTATTCCATATTTGTGCCAGTAACGTTTGACTCTTGGCAAACCAATCGCTAACCAGGGCCAAGAAAGAGTGAACTTGGTGGTCATTTTGTGTTTATTATTAGTTTCAAAAGTTAACTGATATCCTTATGCAAACTGTCAATCAGCACAAGTTAAGTGGCAATTATCGTTATGACAGAATGACAGGTGTTTTTTGCTCTCTCGTATTCGATTAAATTTCGCCAAATATAAACCTTGTATTTTTTGCAATAGAGCGAGCCAATTTTTAAAAGAGACTCGTCACTCAATTTTGCCCGTGGGCAATTAGCTGCTAATAAAATCTCGAGTTTGCATAGTGAAGGCTACGACATCTCTAACTGGGCTGCTTTATTGAAAGACAGGGTTAAAAAAAACCTTTAAAGTACATTTGGTGATTTTTAAGACTCAAGAATACACTTTGTCTCCTAAGGTATATAAATTTGAAGGAAGTTTGATGGCCACATCAAGTCCCTTTTAGCAACGGCATTGGTTCCCAATGAGACTGAAAACAAAAGCCTCCAAAGCATAGAGTAAATGGGACTTTTGGGTTGTCTTGCTTGGGATCAACGATACACTTTTACGGTTAATATATGCTACTGATATTAGCGAGTCGTTGTTACTACATCTCCAGATTCACGTTATTTATGGATGCCAATTAAAAAATGATCGAAGTTTTCCACGCCTCATATTCGTTTTATTCTAGTGAGCTTCGCTAAAAAAAACAATCTTAAACAAAATTTATTGGGAGGACCTTGATAAAATATTAATTGACAGAATTCTTAATTATTATTTTATGCCACACACCTAAGTTTGTTTTTGACTCAACCTCTTTCCATTTGTTATCCTCTTTTTCGAAACTAGAGAAGCCTTTAAAACATATTTCATAAAATGATAAATTCGATGATATTTTTCACAGCAGAAGGAACATTATAAATGCTCAATTTCGTCTTCATTTTGGAACAATTTTATGAACAAAGAAGAGGCAATATTTATCACTTTTCTAAGCACAATCATAAATTCATCCGTTTGCAATTGTGAATATTGAAATCACTGGTCCGCTGTCCACAATCGTCAATATTTGTAAGTACCAGTTTGATTAAAAAAAAAAATGTGCGTCTTTTTAGTCTTTAGATCAAGCTTTGTTGACAGTCTTGATATGAATTCACATTCAAGAGATTCTGTGTTTGATGCATTATATTTGATGACATTGCAAGACAATATCATGTATTTGAAAGCCCGCAGATATGGAAAAATGTTTTATCACTTCTTATAGCAAGAGTTTGAACATAGCAAAATAGAATTGTCATATACTTTTCCCGAAATATACATGTACACCAACGTATACTTGAGAGGGAAGGAAGGCTGACAAAATTCAACTCCGCTCACCTTCTGAACGAGCGAGCCATGCAAAACACAATCCGGCAAAAATGTAAACTGCTTTGCTGAATGCAATTGGGTTTGCGACAAACGCGAGTCTGAGAGACATTTCCGAACCGCAAGTGTACTGACTATCTCTGTGTTCCAAAACGTCGGTTATGTTGTGGCCTCCATAACTCTGAAGAAAAATTTGTAAATAGAAAAAGAAGTGCATTGTCACTTGGATCACTACTAATACTTATGTTTCTTATGGCCATTTTTGTACCTTCATGTAATAACAGACTGACAACCCTTAAAAAAGTTAAGAAATTCAGAAAGGAACAGCGCTATATTCTTGAGGACTAACTATGCTATTTATATTTCTGTCGAAGTTAATTGAGGACTGGGCAGAAATTCAATGTTTCGCAATTTACTAATACGTTATTGGCTTAGTAAGAATAAGCTAATAGAAAACTGAAAACAACTCCCCAATTCACAGTGAAATAATAATATTTGATGGGCTAAAAACTCACGATAATTTTTTTTTCATTGTCTATATAATTTCATGTCGCTGGCTTTTTAAAACGATGGAGGGGCAGCAGAGAATTAAAAAAAATTAACGTCTTTCCCCAAATCCACCTATATTGTCTGAAAATTCTTTAAAATTGTCAAACTTCTATCATACTCAGCTGAAGATTTCAAGCCAAATGGGTCCTTCATAGATCGTCTTCAACGTGAATTGCAAATGCTTCATTTTCGAGGATCATTTTAAAGGAGACACTATACAAACATTACCTTGGACCTTAATAAAATATTAATTGCCAGAAGTCTTACTTACAACTTAAGTTTTCGCCATGCAATTAGATTTGATTTTAAGACAGAATTACATGCTTTGTCTTCGAAGACCTCAAAGTCCCCAGGAAAACATAAAGAACGACATTTGATGAGTTTTTTTAAAATTGTGCAAAAAAGCGTCATTAGGCAGCTTGTCCTTGTCACTTTTCTTTTGAAATAAAGTTTGATACACGTAAAAACACGCATGTTAAGTTTTTACGATTTAAAACACAACGTTAACTAAAATTTATCTAATTGTCTTTGGTAATACTGCGACAGCTGGAAAAAAAAACTATTTTAAAAATAATTGACAGCTATCCGTATCCAAGGCTCTGCACATAGGTAAACAGTGCAATCATTGGTTTAGATTATTTTGTTTAAAGTTTCGTTTCAAGAAGAGAAAGATACGAAAGAAAAACGTTGATCCATCTTGCGTTAAACCTGCTTTTTTTAGATTAAAGATATATTGTGAAAGAGCTTTCACCCCTCAAAGCTTTAGAATTGAAATGACTGAAACGTGTGTTTATCAAGTCGCAGAGATGAATGGGAGATGTTTGCTCTGCTTACCTTCTGAACTGGTAATGAATAATTTAGAATAATAAAATCCTGCCTAGGATAAGAAGCTGAGAATTTTCGAAGAATTGAGTGGTGCATTGGAAACTTTGTTATCCATATGATTCACAGAACTTCTTTATTACGCACCTTTTACTGGCGTAGGAATATATATTACTCAGCGACAGAAAGCAAGCTTTTAAATGCAATTTATCGTAAAAATTACGGTGAGCACAATTTGACAAGCTGAGGTAAGTTTCACAATTGTTTTATTTCAAGTATTATATTCAAGTCGCCAGCTTCGTTACAGATTGCAAGTAACAGCTGACGGGTCAACAGAGAATGAAGAAGTGAACAGAATGACGGAAAATGAAAGTGATAGGAAATAGTTTGACCTCATATATTTTAAAGTAAACAAGCCGAATCCTAAACGATTAGCAGATTTGCTAGGTCTGACAATTTACTCTCACAGTGCTTCTCTTCACCCATCGTTTAAATTGTACCCAGTTAGCAGCTGGATATGAGAATTATCAGTAGCGGCCGTGGGCGCTACAGATAAATTGATGATTCTGATTGGCTACCCGAGCGGGGAAGATGGCTTTGATCCCGGGCAGGAAATTTTTTAAAAAAATTGCTTGTAGTAGACTAACAGAGTTCTTACTTTTCTGGACAATGCCAGCGATGGGGTCGCAAAAAGCGGCAGAAGACAGTCAGAACAAAGAAGACATAAACGAGTCTCATGAACACAGTTGTCTTTCTTTCCCGGCTCTAGTCACTATTCATTCTTGAAAAAGCGAAATTTTGTGCTAAATTATAAATCCTTTATTGACAAAGTTTGTTCGGTCAATATGGCTTGATGTTAGCCTCGTTATTTCTTCCTTTTTTTCGGAAAACGCAAAAAAGAATTCAACCAAAATCCAGCCATCTTGGCCTCGTGCCCAGTCAGTAACGCATATCTAAACGAGATGTTTGGGGAACCCCACCATCCCACCTAGGGAGAGACTTTTTTTCATAAATTTTTTATTTTGCTTAATTAAAACGTTACAACCTACAAAACTTCAATACTACGATACTAAAGTACTTCAAACTTATAATATTACAATGCAATATTACTTTCTGTTGATGAAAGCATGGTGAGATTGCATCCGCAGCTTAGCGAGTCAGTCTAGGCGAATTTTACAAGGTTAGAAAAGGAGATCGTATTAAACACAAGGCTGCTCCCTATTCGTTTATTAGGCTTAATTTCTCGAGGTAAATCTTACTCAGGAACACATGGAAAATCCCTTTACGCTGATTAGGTTTTTGTTTTGTTTTATCATGTAGAGGCCTGTCACTGTGGGGGATTGGATGCACCTACCAGTTACATGAAACCGTGAGAACAAAGAAGCCAGGCTCTTCATCAGTGGAAACTTTACTGCACAAAGAAGGGCAACAGATTCATCCCAGAGTTTAGATCTGATTCTAACCGATCATGATGTATTCAACATTGCGCTTAAGCGAGGATCTCGTCGCACCATACACGGATAGTTGAGAGATCTGAAAGTGATTGATCGGGCGATTTCTGATCAAAAGTTAAAGGACATTTTTTGAGAACAGCCCAAACTGATTTGAAGATTAAATCCATTGTTATATTTTCTCTTTTAACTGGTATATACATGACTCTGTTATTTTGCCTTGGGAACCTCTTTCTCCTTAATTTACTGTAAGCATTGTGTTATTACGTAAAGATACAATTTACCGAATTTCTGAACAGTTAAGGATGGGAAAAAACCGTCGGGAAAATATGGGATTTGGATCCACCCTCTAAGGGCCCATACAGCCAAATATGACGATATTGTCTTAGTAACTGTAGCTTTGGCAAACTTGGTTTCACAGATAATCATTGATGTACGTCCAAATCAAGCCTTGAGACAAAGAGCTATTTAATAGAAATTAGTTTAATTCGGGAAAACTGAGTGATTGTACTGACGAAATCAGCATGTTTTTCGATAAAATCCGTCGCAAAAAGTGAAGTGGGTGTCTACTTGCAAGAATTTTGGCTTTGAAAAAACGCCAACGCAGTTTGAGTCGATAAGAAATTGTATAGACTTTTGAACTACCTCACTTAAACGCTGGAAAACGCGGGAAATCGAGGGTGATCCAGGCGTGATTGATTTCAGTGCAGGATCGGATTGGTCGGGAGGATGGCGCGAGTTTCAAAGATCAATCATAGAGCGTAGTGCAGAAAAACCAATGCAATTCTGGATTACCTTCGACAATTTTGTTTTCTGTCAATACTTTGTCTCGTACCCAGACTCCACACGGTCACACAGCTCTAAACGTAACAAACGCTGTCCTCCGTAAACTTGCTCTTGTTTCCATCAAGCTTAAGCTGCAAGAATAAGATTCTCCCAAGCTCTCAACTGGAACGCTGCATTTTACCGAAACGGAAACCCGTTCGAATGTCATAGATATATAACCATTATCCCATCATATTGGCATCATACGCTGCTCGCATGCAGGTAGGGGTTGCAGAAAAGTTCTTCACTATTCTCGAGCACCCCGTGCAGAAGGAGGCGTAGGGTAAAAGATCGAGGTTGAACAGACTGCAAAATACTACTGCTGTGTCACGAAATTCTGTATGGTATTGATTCTCTTTTCTTTAAAAAGTTCAGTATCAACGGTCATTTGAAAGGATTGTCCGTAAAACCTCTGTTTTTCTCCTTTCCTCTTCTATTGAAAGCCCTTTTTGATCTAACATGCAAGCTCGCACGTCCAAAATGGAAATTATTCGTTACATAAATTAACGACGACAGCTTGCTAACCACGCGTATCAGGGGAAACTTGCTGGAGTAGAATTTCTGTTTAGCCAATCACGGTTAGTCCTTGACACTGGGTCACATTGCCATGATTCTAATATGAGCTTTGTCAGTTTTTGGACAAGGGTAAAAGATTATCCTTTTCTAGTCAACCCTGCCAAGAAAAACTGGGAAAGGAAATGTTGGTTTAGCAAAAGCGGCTAATAGGTCTGGCAACGAAGTTCAAAGCCGTGCAAGACAAAGGTAATTTCACTCACGAATATTTATCAAAATAAACTGCTTTTCTTTCAACCAGCGACTTTGATCTTCTTTGGTAAAATAGTCGGATTTAAAAAAATAAGCCTCGGGACTTTCCAGTTGTCTTACTAAACGCGGATTTGGAAAGTCAAATTTGAATTCCAAAAATGATTGTGGTTTTTTTTCTACGATATCATGAGTGGCCTCTCTTGTTTATATTACGTCTTTTCCGGTAAGGATATTATAAATTACGAAAGCGAAAACGGAAAAAATAATGGTTTTTCTCGATCAATTAAAATTCCTTACGGGAGAGTTGTGTGTTCAAAATATCTCCTTTCCGTGCGCTGCCTGCGGTGTGTCTGCTTGGCGTAGTCAACGCGAACTGAATTATGGGCCACTTCCGAGTACGACCATAGCAGCGTTTCGACAATTGACCCTTTGTAGAGCTTGTCTTGGTGGAATTTATCGAGAGATTTTGCGTGGACATTCGCCATTTAAGTGTTAAGCTACTTAAGTTTGATATGCAGAGCTTTTAACAATTGTTGTTCGCAAGGTAAGTCTTGTCTCGATGGAGTAGTTCCGACTGTAAATTTTTTAACTCTTCGCTTGTCTAGTGTGAGTTACTCGCAAGCTTTTAACTTTGTTGAATATTAAATTTTGCCTGCTATCAAGAACGTTTTAAGCTCACCAGGTTTCATTTTACTGACGATCACTGTTTTATGATGTTTTAAGACTTTGTGGATCTCGTTGCAGGTGGCCCGAAGGTCCCCAAACAGTGTGAGGTTTACGGTACGTGCTAGCTTATGGCTGTTGTCATTTGCAAAGTGTTTTCCTGGTTGACTAAATTCCATGGTAGTAGGTTCTCTGTATTTAAGGTGGGGAAATATTCGATTAATTTTCTCAAGTTGTCCTTGGTTGGTAAGAAACTGTGAATTCGTGACCTGTTCTAGAATTTCACTTTGTGTCCTCCAACGAGGTTCGATTTTATACTATTAGTAATTACTTCGAAAGTCTTGTTCCCATTTGCAGCAGTCGTCTAAATTTATGCAAAATCGATTGAAGTTTACATTTATCGAATCATGTAAGACCTCATCAGTCGCTGTGGAATTATCGTTATCGATCTTTGTTTGCAAGTAGATAGCTGTTGTGTTTGAAGGCGTCACAATTTGTGATATTTTTCTTCCGTTTTCCCGCAGGAGAAGACCTCGCCTGATTGCCGACAAGATTACTGAAAATCAGTGATCATACAGTTAGCTCGCTTAACCTGTTAAATTAAAAAAACCGATTAGTATGGCTGCAATGGAGGAAGGAAATGGCGATAGTATGTCTACTGATAGTGGCCAAGCAGTTGGCCTGCAATATACTAGTCAGAAGAATTTTGAAATTGAGAAGAAAATCGGAAAAGGACAGTTTAGTGTGGTTTACAAGGCTCGATGTCTCCTAGACAACTCTATAGTTGCACTCAAGAAAATACAGGTGAGCTTAAGATTCGATCGATGATATTGAGAGACAGAGCTCATGCTTAGCCCGCGAATAATTCTTAACTACGGTTTCAGTTCATGATGGGGGGATTTTTGGGCCTCATACGCACAGGTAATCGGTTTGCTGTGCTTGGCGACTGAAGAATTCGATTCAGTTCAAGAGAATTTCGCGATAATTGCTTGTGAAGTGAGTTTAGTCGTTGCATGCATAGGTTGTCATTTGTCTGAAAGTAAATTTTGTTGTGTTTTAATGTAAACAAGTTTCATTACTCTGGCAAAGAATCGGCTTCGAGTTTGCACGACGGGGGCCACTTTTTGAGATGGCAACCTCTTCCTACATGCATAGCACGTAAATAATGGCTTTCGTTTGCCCCAAATACACCTTGTAACTGAGTGAAGGGAAGTTATTGAACCAAGGTGCATCATGCAACAAAAAAACAATGAAGAGAAAGGAGAAAACTTATCTAAAGATAGTAACACGGAAGCCAGGTGCAATTTGTTTGCTTAGAGATAACATTAGAAATTTGCATACATCTATTGTCAACCGACGAGTTTTGAACTGTGCCTACTTATAATGAATTGAAAACTGAAGGCATTATATGTAAAGAAAAAAAGAAAAAAAAAAGTGTTACTTGCAGTGGAATGTTCAATAAGAATATTCCCACTGAATTAATTATTCTAAGATTAAGTGTGAACTATATTATTAACTGGCTTGTCCCAACCTCTACTCTACTCTGGTTAGGTTAGTTGTTGCAGGTGGACTAGAATTTAATGCACTTGCAGATGGTCCATTTGTTAACATCTCCCTTACACTCCACTGATATTGTTTTTATTAATTCTAAATTTTTTGAAATAGGAGAATTTTCCAAAACAAAACAAGCTGCTAAATAAACAAACCAATTTGCCACCTGTTTGTTATGATTATCAATACTTTTTGCTTTGTTAAGAGTAAATTTTGGAAGAGAAGTCCTTCTTATCAATAAATTATTAGACCTTTGTACAACAATAATGTTCTGATTGGTTATTTCATTTTTGCATGCGGAACATGATGTCAAACTTGTCAAAATTTTATGGATGGTAAGGGAAAAGAATATGTTTTTGAGATCTAGTCAAGTGAAATGATTTTGGCAAGTTATTTTCATGCTATTCCTGAAAATCTGTTAATACCTCCATCTTAACTCCTTGACAAGGGAATTTTAAAATAGTTGTGTACAATTTATTGTAGTGTACTTATTAATTTTGGCATATTTAATTTATATTCCAACTTCTCAACCAGTTCTAACTGATATTTCTGGTTTTCATATAAATTTATTTTTAATGTTATCTTCTTGAGATCTTTGAAATGATGGATGCAAAAGCAAGACAAGATTGTATAAAGGAGATAAAGTTACTTCAGGTAAACATTTTGTCCAGAGCATTGCTTCCCATGAATATATTTGATTCTTCATATGCTTTGTAAAGTGTGGGTTGACTTTGTTGATGGTTTTGTTCCTGTTTGAGGTTTTTAAGGGTGTCTGTGGCTAAATCTGCATTAATTTGACATAACAAGATTAGGTAGAAAATGCCTAAATTCTACATATTAGGTTTAAGAGCACCTTATTACTCCAACACATATTAGTTTGTTTGTGGAACACAAAATTCAGCATGAAAACTCTAGTTTCCAACATTACTCTTCTAAGGGTTTCAAAATTCAGTAGCATGACAATTCTAGTTTCCCACATTACTCTTCTTGCAATTTCAAAACCATAGCTGGGTAGCAGGTAGACCTATCCACATGTAGTGGGCCTACTGGCTGCCTACAGCTTGTTCACAATATCATAAGATTCAGACAACTGACTGGTCCAAGTTGGTTGCCTTCAAAGAATAATGAAGTAACACGAATGAAGACCTTAGAATGTAGGAAAAGGGTCACTTGGGAGACATGAATTCAGAATTTAAAATTTCTCGAGGAACATACCACTTCACTCCTTTAGGTTCAGAATGCTCTTTAACTTAATCAGAAAATAATGCCCATCATTGTCTAAAATTACTTAAATGTACCTTCTTGTGCACAAATTTGATACCCTTGGTTTTCTTCTTTCAGCAATTAAACCATCCCAATGTTATCAAATATTTGGCTTCTTTTATAGAGAATAATGAGGTATGTTGTTGTATATTGATTCTTTTTGTGTCCTGTGTGTCAATAAAACTTGTAGTGTGCAGCTCTGAGCTTATTGTTCCTTTCCTAAAGTAAAATGTGTACATGATAGATCAGCACTAGCAGTGCATGAGAACAAGAGGTAGTTGTATTTCAGTTTTAGTCTTAAAGAAAAAAAGACAGAAAATCAGATTACAATTTTTGTATCTGATTATTCCTTACTCAATCATGTAAGAGTCAAATAATCTTACTTTTTTTATTGCACTCTCCACAGCTTGTTATAGTATTAGAATTAGCAGATGCAGGAGATTTATCAAGAATGATAAAGGTATGACTTACACATACACAGTATTGTGCAAAAGTAATGCAAACAGAAATTGCAGAATTTCATTTCTTGTTCTTTTGAAATTTCATTGAACTTTCTTGCAAAAGTTGGTATAAAGATTCTCACCTGCAACTCATGTCATTTTGCAATAACGGAGAGCAATATTTCTTCAAATTTTTGTCACATTTAAGTTTGCAATGGGAAACATTTTTATGCTGGCCTTTGTTCACTTGGGAAAATGTAAAACAATTCTCTGTATGGTACAACTTTCACATATACATGTACATGTACTGGTATTTATATTATTGATATTGATAACAGGATTGCATGTCAGCCAATCCAGTCTTTAATCATACAAATGATTAACAGATAGAATTGGATGGCACAAAGTACTGTTACTAATTAGTTAAGACTGTATTTGATATGGCATTTGACAAAATACCTTCACTTAAATGTCTTTGTTGATAAAACATACCAGTTGACTTTTTTCCTTGAGAAAATGGATGTAATTATCTCTACTGTGGATACACAGGGTACCTGTGTTCTCCCTTACTTTTTAAGCATTTAACTGGTGGAGCATTCCTCTTACTTGCTGACTTTTCAAGAAATTTTCAGCAGTAGTAATGAGCACTTTGGGTAGTAAATTTTACTGATTACCGCCTGAACAGGAAAACACTCAGAGTTATACAGCCATGAGCCTTGTTTTGCCTATTACTTTGTTCATTTAACAAGTTTGACACATACATAGTACGATCAGTTCTCAAATTTGGCTGCTTATAGCCAATCATGTTCAAAAATGTTGTTTCTACAGCATTTTTTACAAATAACAATACCTTGAGATCTAACTTTTTAAATTAATTTATTCCCTTAAGTGAGTACTAAAGCCCTAAAAACATGAAAAAAAAAGATGCAATAGGAATTTAAAAAACATGGCAAATTAAAAAAAACTTCTTGTTAGGGTTAAAAAAAGAAGCCATGATAAATGTTTTCTTGTGTTAATATTCATAATTAATTGAGATATATATATTTTATTAAAATAGCATTTCAAAAAACAGGACAGATTGATTCCAGAGAGGACAGTTTGGTAAGTGTCCCAGCCTCATATTTGACTGTAAACATCAAAAGGAGCAGTTACCTTTAAAGAGCCTGCCTGCCTGTTTATCCTAAATACATGTAGCACTCACTGTGTTATGTGCATTTTGAGCTGACTGTTTCTGTGGGTGTTGATGAAGGGTAGCAGAGACTGACAGAATACATGTGAAACTGATGAGAGTGGTAGTAATGAACATGTGCCTTTTGGCTGTTATTTAGAAAACATTCAAGTAATTGTGGCCAAAATGATTGAGAATCTTTCTTATCGGACTAGCTCCTCACTCAGCTGAATCTAAGATAAAATAATTTTGACACTTTTTCAATATCTTGTGTAGGTTATCAACTTGTTTTTCTAGGTTATTAAGGATTGGGGAGAAACCTTTCCAAGGCTGAATTTGGCATGTTACTTATCATTTATGTGCACATTTAACACAAACCTTAGATGTTTTAGGTGTTGGAATTTCAGATCTGTAAATGCTATAATTTTATCATTGGACGTTTCAGGAAATACTTTGTTCAACTGACTGCAGCTCTGGAGCACATGCATTCAAGACGTGTCATGCACAGAGGTTGGTGAACTTATTAACTGCACTTGAACTTTCTGCTGCATCATTTTTGTACTGTAGCTTGAGGCATACTTGGCTCTCTGCAAAGGGATATCCCCATCCCACAAGGCTTCCCTACTATGATCAAGACTGTTCATATGATGATGACTCCTACTTGAGCTTTCCAATTGTCAGTCATTGACAGCAGCATAAAAATAAGCACCCTCAGTTACTCCCACTTCCGTAAATATTTGATTACTGTAACACTTACAAGCCCACAAATTGAGTTTTACACAATGCTGCCTCTAGTCAGGAGGATATAAACTTTATTAAGTTTTAAATTTGTTGGCTCTTCAGAGAAGGTTCAGTTTGGTGACACTGTTCTGGAGGCCTTTATGAGTCTAGTCTTTCAAATGTTAACACACTTTATTTACAGACATCAAGCCTGCCAATGTCTTTATAACTGCATCTGGTGTGGTAAAGCTTGGTGACCTTGGTCTTGGAAGATACTTTAGTTCTAAGACTACTGCTGCACATTCTTTAGGTGATGAAAATATACCTATTAATAATATTATTAACTTAGCTGTGCAAAGCCTCCAAGAGAATAACATTTATTTGACTTAAGACACATTGGCTCATTATATTATGGTAAAGTTACATTCGCTACGACACAAGTCCACTCCTAGGACATAAAGTACCTCTGTTTGAGGCTTACATGTACAAGGGACAATTGAAGTGATATAATAACACAAATCCACACAACCTGGGCCTAGTTGTTCCAAGGCTAATTAGTGCTAACCCAGGGTTTTATTCTAATCCAGGTTTCTATTTTCCTCTGTTTAAAAGCCGTTTTGGGATAATTTCCCCTATTCTTTTAAGAGCATTTAATCACCAAATTGTACACAAATGGACTTAAACTGAATCTTCTTATAAAACTTTCAGATCTGAAATCAAATTTCACACTAACCCTGGGTTATCTCAACTTGAACAACCTAGTCTGGAAACCCAAGCTGAACTCAAATTTGCAGGGTTAAAATTGTAGTGATACACTGTCACAAGTTCCCAGCCTTTGTGCAAGTTGAACATTAATACATGTACAAAATAACAGTAGACAATAGCCATGAGCTTGGCTGTTGTAGTGATAGCAATATAATTCTCATGTTAGTGGGAATGCACAAATTAGCCAGCAAAACTGGTGGAATCTTTTAGAAACTGATGTGATTTTTTCATTGTTAGTGGGGACACCTTATTACATGTCACCAGAGAGGATACATGAAACTGGATATAATTTCAAGTCTGATATTTGGTCTCTGGGTTGTCTTTTATATGAGGTTAGTAACACTGGCTTAGGATACCAGAGGGTGAAGAGAATGCTGTCAAATTATCTTTGAGGGTATTATTTGGCAATGTCAACATAGCATGAGTTGAATAATAGTTTATGCAAGGTGTTAATCAGAGAGAAAGTGTTATCATAAAATAATTTGTGGTCTTCTTTGTACAAATTGCTTTGATAGATGGCTGCCCTCCAGTCACCTTTCTATGGTGACAAAATGAACCTGTATTCACTGTGTAAGAAGATAGAATCTTGTGATTACCCCCCTTTGCCAGCAGAACATTACTCTGAAAAGGTAATACAAGTTAGCATGTTTTGTACAGTTGAACTCCTTTCTTGGCAAACTTTTCTTTTGGCCAAAGTATGAAATATGGTGTGTGGGAGATGCATGAACCAAACAGTTTGCAAGCTGGACTTGGAGTGGAGAGAACCTGGCCGGGGTATTGTGTTGTGTCCCAGGGCAGGATAATTAATTGTCACTGTT